GTAGAAGACACTCGTAAGCTATTAGTATTTGACCACAGATGCCTAAGAAATATTGCTGGCGTCTGCTGGGATAACCGGGTAAGTAATAGTGAGGTTAGACGCAGGGTATTAGGAAAGGATGGTAAATCAGTTGATGAGGTTATGAATCTTCATCGACTGAGATGGTTGGGCCACGTGTTACGTATGCCTGAACACCGATTACCACGACGTGCAATGCTATCCGGTATTGGAAATGGTTGGAAGAAAGTTAGGGGCGGCCAAACCAAAACGTGGCATCAGTGCTTGAAGTCACTAACTTCTAGTCTGAGCCATGTTGGTAGATGCAGACTACTTGGTTGGGGTCCGCGTGACTATCGTAACCAATGGTTGGAGACTCTTGGTGACATGGCTCAGAATCGATCACAATGGCGTCGGTGTATACACTCCCTGTCTTCCCTTAAACTATGAGATTAAAATCGCTTCATATCTTTCTTTCTACGAACCAATTCTTTCTGCTTGTACTATATCTCTATATGCAATCTTTCTCATATATTACCACCTTTCACCTAACCACTGTTATGAATCTGGTGTTCATCTTGTTGTGTTGATGCGGTATGGCAACCTGGACCGATGCACATATGTGCCTGGTCCTACGTTGTAGCTGACTGACTGACTGAATTTTGCTTAGACATTCAGCTACTAGAGTGTTATCGTGTATCTTATCAGAAATCGATCGTTTATTAGGTTCTCTCGTTTACTGTAGAATACGCAGATTATAGTTTTTTGGTTAAGACACTGATAAACAGTCTTCATATTGCTTCAAGCAACAATATTTGTATGTCTTTGGTGCGTTTCATTTCCTCCAAATGCAAAATATTGCTTCAAAACGGACTTGCATAAACACCTAAACTTGTAGTGGGAAGTAAACAGCCGAGCGTCTCGATCACTTGATTTTTCTCGGAGGTATCTCATCAACTTTGATGAGGTGTTGTCTGATAAAGTCTTGTCAGTAATGACGGAAGTTTTTTGGTTTTCTCAGTGTATATTATAACTTTTCAGCCGGACTGTACTACATATCCATCCACTTCAATTCAAGTACCTTGCGCACAAAAACTTAAGCTCAAAATATTCGAATATCCACTTGGTAAATAAGTCGCGCTGTTATCATTGGTATACGATGTCGTAACAATATTGCACGATAATCGAGTTCTGTGTCTAAATTATTCATTTAAGAATAAATAGGCCTTTAGCTTAACATTAGAAAATAAATAATACGATTTACAGTCACTTAAAAACCTAAAACTGTACTTTTTTGTTTAAATATGATTATCATTCATGTTCTAATAACCTTTTTTGCTTTTTCAAGAAATGAATAACGACGACGTGATATGGCACACTATCAACCATTCATTCTGTTCTTTTGTTGTCAAAACGAAAACAGGAAGGTTTTGCAGAAATGATGACAATGTGACAGGATTGTGTAATCGACATTCTTGCCCATTAGCCAACTCACAGTATGCCACTATAAAAGAAAGAGATGGTATCATCTACCTGTATGTCAAGGAACCTGAACGTATACCTTATCCTGGTAAACAATGGGAGCGGATTAAATTGCGCCGAAATAAAGAACAAGCTCTGAAACAAATCAAAGAGCACTTATTATATTGGGATAAATGGATAATAAGTCGTGTTAAGCAGAGATTCTTTCGCACAAGAGAATATCTTAAAAATATGCGACGTTTAGCCTTATCAAGACAAAAGAAATTAGAACCTATTAATCGTACAGTTGAAAAACGTGAATTAAGGAGAGAAGCAAAAGCATTACGTGTAGCACGCATTGAACGTACTGTAGAACAAGAACTCTTAGAAAGATTACGCGCATCAACATCTTCCAAGGAAATATATAACATAGATCAATCTGCCTTTGAAAAGGCTCTGGAAGCTGAAGAAATAAATGAAGAAGAATCTGATGAAGAATACGAAGATGAAGAAGAAGAAATCGCTTACACTTCAGGATCTGATGTTGAAGATATTGAAGATATCGGAGTGATCGATGAGGAAAATGAAGAAGAGGAAGTTGAACATAATCTTGTCCTGACAAATCCCAAAAAGAAGCGTAAAGTTACCATTCACTATGAAAAAGATGAATGAACAATTATCCCACTTTTACTGTATATATCTTGTATATTTAAGTGAAATAGACTGAGTAGCTTTTTAACTATACAAAATTGGAACCGTTTGAATTCATTTGTTCAACAAGCTTTTCGTTACTTTTTATTAACCCAACTAGTCACGGTGTGTTTGAATAATAACGGTAATAAGCCACAGATTTTTACGTCTCGGTGTAAAGATATTGGCCTATATTATAATAGTAAAAAAACTAGCATTCATCCCTAACCTACTGTCTTTGACTCGTATCTGCCTGCATTTCATCCTAACCTAATGAAAAGTAATCATTCGTTGAGCATTCCAGTTGTGAGTAAATTAAATTTGTCAGTATGAAGTTTCCATATAGTGAGAACATAATGTGATCGATATTAAGAACCAAAAATGGCTGTAATCACTAGGTTTTCATATATATCCAAACACAGATACTGACTAGATTTAAGTAGAAGCAACCTGTCAGTGTTCAATCCAAAGTTTAACTGCTAAGTTGGAAATTGCAACATCGACAAATTCTTCACTATACAAGCCTTAAGGAAACTCAAAGAATATTGCTACTTTCTGCACAGGATTGCTGTGATAGACGTTTTTGATATCCGTCCATTTCACATCCTATCAATGGTTTACAAATATTGCCCTCACAGTCAGTTACTGTTTGGACGTCCCTGTAACTGACATTATCCTCCATCTGATGTGCAGCATGATTCTTTATCATATATATATATATATATATATATATATGTCAGCTCACTTTAAACTTCACTGTTTTAAGGTTTGCAATCCGGGTGAAAAGCTATCCACCTAATATCATAAACTAAACGGGAGCCAGTCTATTTCGTTCTCGACAGATTATATCTGTATCATTTATTCACCTTTCTCTGTTCATATAATACATATACATTGTAAAGTGCACAATTTGTAAGAAGTCGTGATCACAGACCTCCCTACAGTTGACTCGAAACTTTATGGTCAAAAAGGATCTACAGATTAAGTTAACAAATTCATAGGCTAAATTTCACTATAAATTCGACCTTTTCTTTACTTCAAAGCTACTTAATTGCTGTAGCATGTACCTATTCTTACACTTGGAAACTACTCACGTGATAAAGGAACCCAAAATGTTTGAGGTATTCTTACTGAGCTTCTGTCATTATTTGCCATTGAGACAATAGGTTAGATTGACCTGTCATCGGGGTAATGAAAAGAACACAAGCACTACCGTAAACTGAAGTATTCAAAGCAAATAATTTACTTCCGGAATGCATATCCTACAGTTTTTAGTGTTTGAACGACTTTGAATTGTGCTTACTTTTGTATGTATTATTTCTACCGTTTTGGAAGTGACAACCAACAGTTCTGCTTTAACAATGCGGTTTTGCAATTAATAATTACTGGACCATCATCATATGAAACCAATAATAGGTCACATCAGTTGCCTACTGTGTTCGCATTGCCTATCTACTACTTTAGTGTGACCGGCTCTATGAGAAGTGCCGTAGTATCTGAAGTTATGATTCGTAATTTCCAGCCCTTATATTATTTAATGCCTATTAGGAATATCTTCATTGGCCAGAAACCGAAAAACCTCGTATAGTACGAGTTTACTCTTAGGAGTGTCAAGTCATTTTTCGAAGTAAAATCCTCGTTCCTACCTATGCAATACATCACTCTCACCTAGACAAACACCATTTACAACGTACAACCTACGGCAGTATTATTGATGTTAGGAAAGCAAATGCCAGCTACTACTATGTAGTTTTACTGTCTCGTATTTAAACCTTTATACAACAGTCGCAAGATCTTAACTTATAAGTATATATGTACAGTAATAGTAACATTCTTACGTTATACCGGATAATATTAAAACAAAAGCATCGGAAACTGGTTTCCATGCACTTTTGTGTAGCAAAAAAGTGTGGATAAGTTTGATTGTATGCGAAACATCAGTAACGGTAGATTAATATAGTTAACCTTAGCTGTCACTTCACTATAATTAGTTCGTTGCAAAGGCCAGTTTAAAACCGACTCAGGTTCTGGATAGATATCGGTGCTGAGAATCTTGTGGATAACCGGTTCCAACTATACCGCTTGGTAGATCGTAGCTGATTATGTAAATGAATATGAAATAAGAGTGGGCTCAATATCTCTGCAAACAGTATCTCAGAGTATCATTTGCAATCTACAGACGTAATTGAGTAACTATGATATAAAAATACAGGGGCACAGTATAGTCATTAGTCCAATTTTTGGATAAGGTCGGAATCCGTTAAAATTCCTTGATGACATATAAGCTTGCAATTAGTGTGCGGAAATATATCTTTCTTCATTTTCATCTCTGAGTTTTAGCAGGAATTTGTTGCCTAGATGTACATGTTTCCTGGACGGTTCGAACTCAGTCTACTAAAAACTGTGTTCTCAATTACTTGCACGGAGAGAAGTAATCTAATACTCTCGTAGAGAATTTACAAAGTCGACGTTGATGATCGAGAATCGCTTAGTCTTACACACGATATGTAAATTAATTATATAGTAGATATGCTTCAGTAAAATTGAAATGCTAGGTAGTAGACTTAGAAAGGAAGCGTAAAAATCCAAAGCAAGGCAAGGTAACATGGGGGAGAAATCACTTTATAACACTACTACGAAATGAATGACGAAAAATATCCTGGGCAAGTTTCTATTTTGAATAATAGGTCATAAAATCTGGATTTTTTGAAGCAGAAAGCTAAAACTGAAGCCGATTTACTCTGAATTGTCAACTCGCTAAATAAAAACTCGCATTCATGATTACGGGGACTTGTGCTATTCCCTCTGCTCTTATATTAAAATTCAGCACTTTGAAATGTTAAGAATGCATGTAGTCAAAATCAGTTTTATTATAATGCGAAGAAGAGAAATAAATTACAAGATATTGCTAAAATACAATGAATACAGTTAGTTCATAGTTACAAACATTTGTTTTTCTGGTATTCTATGCGAGAAACTTTATGTTCATCATTGACTAGAGTGTACACATATAATTGTATTGCGGTTTCTTGAATATCCAAAAGAACAAATGAAGGTTGCGGGTTTCTATTTAGGAAAAAGAAACGAAAATGGAAATATACGCATATGATTCGTTAATATTGAACAGTGAAGCATGTATTAATCCAGGTTCTTTAGATCTTACGCTATTTACCTACTGATTAATCACATTCATCAATAAATTCTGAACCCCAATGCAAATTTCAGTCATTAGCGAACAAAGTAAAGAAGTAGTACTTACTTTTCAAAAGGGCTATATGCACCGGTAGCAGAACCAGGATTGATATAAAAGTGTCCAGCATATTCATAGGCTTCAAACTTATGAGTATGACCACTGATCAATATATCAACGTCTAACTCCCGTTGCAGAGTAGCTAAACTTTTTTGGTCTCCCCAAGGAACTATTTGATGTCCATGTATAAGTCCTATCTTAAAGTTTCCAACGCTTAAAACCTTTGTAAGAGGGAAATCTAAAGCCTTAAATTTCACGACAGTAGCTTTCAAAACATACCTCATCAAAGTCGCCCTTCACAACATGCACATCTCCACAAATAAGTTTTAAATAGTCATACATATGTTTCGAAGTAAGGTTTCCCGTGCATAATATATGTTGTATTTTTCCAGGAGCTAAAAGAGTCTTAAAAGCAGGATGTAAAGAACGTTTCCTGTCAGGAATGTGGAAGTCGCCGATCACTAGGACCAACTGAATTGATAAACCAGCAACAAAATCCTTACCATGTGAAACCCAAAGATTTCGAATGAGGTACCACTGCAAAATACAGACCTTTCCGACAAATTTGTGTAATCTGTGGGGATAGAAAACCAAACACAAAACTAGAGAATTTATTTGGAGCAGAAAATTGCAACGAATAACGCAAGACCATCAAAATTAGCTAGCTTATAATATAATAGCTTTTAGAACTTATCATAATGTGAGTTCATGATAGTAAATATAAGGTCTAATGTGAGTCGGTAAGCTTCATACTTTATGTAATATTCAAGAAGTGACTTTATTAGATATTTCACAATAGCCTGAGATTTCTGCAATTATAGTGCAACAGTCAAGTCTCAAACAGTTGTTTGTGAACGTTTTGGGAATAACTTATAGTCCAGTCACACAACTTTGACATACGATTTTTATAATCTTGATACTGTTCGTCATTATAAGACAGGAAAATCAGCGCACTTATGATACTCGTAGGAATTTTGTGACTCGATGGTTTTCTGAACCACAAAAATCATTACGCTACTCGTGAAACATGGTACAAGTATAAACTTCAAATCCAATAAATATGAAGAGCATATATTTTTAGCGCAAGTAGAAAATACACTTAACAAACTAATACGTCTACAGTTTGTAGGAAAAAAATAAACGAAGTTCAAAGTAAAAAAACCAAAAATTCCGATGGAGAATATATGTTTCTCAGGCTAAATAGCTTTGTTTTTGAGTGATAAAATGACAGATCCGTTGGTCTGTGTTAATTATAGAGAAACGTAAGTTTCGAAGTGAAGTCATGTTACTGACTGTCCTTAAGTATTGTAGCTGCAAGGTTTCTTTCGAATAACCAGCATCTCTCCAGTAATGGTGTATTTCCAGAGTAAAATCAAAGGGTTCGAAAAAATAGTACGCCTCATCTTGACCAACGGACTATTGCGACAGAAGATAAGTAATCAGAACCACCAAGCTAACGCAATCAAAAATAATGCTTTCTAAAAACCCGTGTATAACCGACGTTCAACAATAATTATTTGCGCCTTGTGGTTGAGCTCAGGAAAACAGCTACTAATCAGGTTTTATTTTTAAGTACTTGGAAATAGAACATCCATCGACATTGTGGACAGCTCCAGACCGTAGCATCTGCCTTGACGTGGTAGTCGGCCTTGCCTATCGTGATGACACAACCGAGCTATATTGGCTAGAACACATGTTCCTTTAGGTCCTATCATGCCAGGCAGGTCGGTTGGAGAAAGCTAAGAGTAAAAGCAGCAACTTAAGAGCAGAGGGCAAGTCGGACTGATGACTATAGAGAGGTTTGATGGCAGTAAACTGTTCGCTTCGAACAACAAGCGTCTGCAGCGTTGCTGCCTTTGCACAACGGAAGGGGTTGGAGAAAGTCGACTCTAAAAATGTCACTTCATCTTACTCCGCCTCCGACAGTAAGTTCTTTCGAAGTGCGGAGACAATACATCAAAAGCTTCCCATTAAAAGGACATGAGCCACAGACCCTAAGCAGTCGTTCTTTGAGCTCTACGGTAACGCTCTCAACTCTCTAAGGCCAATACCGACGCAGCTTCTTTATCGGATCCCTCAAAAAGAAATATCCATCCAGTGTAGGAAGCCGATAACTGACAAACACTCTCATACGTCTAACAGCACCGAAGATCATTTTGTTCACGATCGGATTTCCTCCTAACCTCTTAATAATTATCCTATACCCAAGAAAAACCACGTGCCACAAATACTAATGATTTAGGTTCACGAAATATCATTCCTGGTCTCATGAAACTACGCTCTAAATTACATTTTGGAGCTTTTAATGTTCGAACCGTGTGTCAAACAGGTCAACAGACTTCTTCAGTTAGGACTCCGGAGTCTCGTGCGTATACAGAATACAATTACGGTCGTTTGTTTGACCTCATTTTGTCAATATAAAAAACTGGTACGATCTACTCTTTGTGTGCGCTGTCCGACGGATCGGGATACTAAGAACACCATGTCATTTCCTACGTTTTCTGAGGATATATTTAGATTGCCGTGTTTTTACCAGTTTCAAGCATAAGGAAAAGCGTCATTTGATTCGGTGACGCCACAATTGACCCGGACCATGCTAACACTAATCATCGTTGGAGAGGCTCGATAGAAAGCTGTCGCTCATTCTGGAGCACACGTTTAGACTCGGATAATGGTCTAGTTCGAGCGTGTGTTTGTTTGCATTTTTCTGGACGTAGAAATCACTAGGGTCTAACTTAATAATGCAAAGTTAGGAATATATTTCAGGAACAACTAAAGGAGTTAGACCAGGAATAACGATAGATGGTTAGAGACCTTGAATGACATGGCTCAAAATCGTTTACAATAACGCAGGTGCATCCACTTTGTGTTCTCCCAAATTCTAATCTTCTGAATTCTCCATGTCTTGTTTTCCTCTTTCCAAATTTATTTCGCTGTATTATATTCCTTGAATAACATCTCCAAACCCTAACTTTTCCGATTACTGCTTATTCATTTACTACAGCTACCACTACGGGATTTGAATCGACAACCACATCTCTGTGCTAATGTGGTGTGGCAACTCGAACTGATGTACGTACGTACGAAGTTCTATGTTGTTACTGACAGACTGAAAGGAGTTAGACAACCATGTAAGTGATATCGACCCCGAGGTGGCTTGGTACGATATCCAAATAGTTTTGGAAACAAGTTATATCTACTACTAATGAGAAATCTGTGGGTATCAGCAGTGTCTACAGGAATGATAAATGCTCGGAAACTCATCCCGTCTAGCCGCGAACACGATGAGGAGCGGAGGTAAATTAAACATAGGCTAAGGAAAAGCCTATGCAACGATTTTGATCAGTGGAGGGTAGCGAAAGTAAAGTAGTGGCGATAGGTAATTGTAAACAACTTTTCATACCTGTCAAGCAAACGGGTATTAAAAACCAATTGTTAGTGAGACCCAGGTGACCTACCTCCGGCTCATTTTAAAGATGGTGGTGACTTTCTGGTTAAGGAAATGACTACGTTGTTTATAAGGTTTGGGAGCTAGAGATTGTTCCATCATCATGGGACGCGTCGATAGTTACCCCTATCTTTAAAAATGTTCACATCGTTTCTGTAACAACTATCGGGGGATAAGTTTACTATCTATCTCGGAAAAAAACTACTAATCACTCTTTATCCAGGAGATTTGACTGATGGGCAGAACACTTTAGGGAACGGTTCAACTGGGCTTCAGCCACACTTCAGTTACCCACTATCTCCAGGAAACATGAATGGTAAATTGATGTAAATCCTCAAACTCTTAGTGATATTGAAGAGGCTATAACCAATTTGACGTATTGGGGAGCAAAATGGCCTAGTGGACTAACATCTGAGATTGATACTGGTGGTAGTCCAGTTTCGGCGGTTAGATTAACAGACATCTTAGCTAAAATCTGAGAACTGGATGTAATTCCATCCAACTGGTCTCGATCAATAATTATCCCAATCTATGAAGATAAATCTTCTTGTAACAATAACAGAGGAATTAGTTTAGTTGGTAAGGTGTCTAAATGACTAACTGACTGATACAGTTTCTAAAATGTTAGCCTCAATAATAATTCGACGTCCAACTAGAGCTGGTGAAGAGAAAACCCGAGAAAAACGGGCTGGTTCCATACCTGCACGTGTATGTATAGACTAAATACTCACCCTCTTCGACTGTTTTCGGAACATAGACATACTCTTCGACATCCGATTAGTTGTACTCCTTGACCTCAAGGCGGCGTTTGACTCAGTTGATCGTGAGGTTAATATTAAATTTGAAAAGGCTACCTAATCAAACACTATTGGACAAGTTAAAGCTTATGACAAATAATCATCGGAATCGGCTAAAGTGGTGTTCGTCAAGGTTGTCCGCTCGGACTATTTATATTTAACATCGTCGGAGACATACTTTTGGAGAAATTCTTGAAAATGTTCGTATATTACTGGTATTCGATCATAAGTGCCATCGAAGAATCGATTGTGTATAATGGGACCACAATTATCAATGCATGGGTTAGGGATACGGTCAGTCAGTCAGTCAGTAACAACGTAGAACTTCGTACGTACGTACATCAGTTCGAGTTGCCATACCACATTAGCACAGAGGTGCAATGGTCGATTCAAATCCCGTAGTGGTAGAGGTAATAAGAGTATAAGCAGTAATCGGGAAGACTAGGGTTTGAAGATGTTACTTAAAGAGTATAATACAGTGAAATAAACTTGGGGAGAGAATAAAAAGAGACAATGAAGAATAAGGAGATCAAAATTTGGGAGAACACAAAGAGTGTATGCACCTGCGCCATTGAAAACGATTTTGAGCCATGTCATTCAGAGTCTCTAACCATCGGTTGCTATCATCTCGCGGTCCCCAACCAGGTAGTCTACACCTACCGACATGACTCAGACCACTTGTCAGTGACTTCATGGACTTGTGTCATGTTTTGGTCTGGCCGCCCCTAGCTTTCTTCCAACCTACTCCTATACCACTGAACATCGCACAGGGATACGGTCAATGGCAATTAGACTGAGCAATGCTAGTAAATGGAGACTACCTGGATGGAGTCAACGCGATGATCTTGGATTACATGATTCCAAATCGTTTGCAATTGCGCAGGTGCAATTACTTCATGTCTCCTCTCAAATTCTGAGCTTCTGAATTCCTGATAACTTTCTTTATGCCGTTAGTTTACTAATTTGAATTTTCTAGAATCGTATCTTTGATACCAAATCTTTTCAACTAAGAGCCATACTTATATTTCCTTTACTGTACTGGGATTAAGTCTGGAGATACCATCCCTACGTGCTAACGAACTAGGGTAACTTGAACCGATGTATATACGTATCGGGTTATAGGTTGTGACTGACTGTGGATAGCTAGTATATAATAATCCACCGTATACCTGTGATAGTACTGTTAATTCTTACAGGAAATAGTTGCCGGGATGTCAACTACTGAAAGTATTCAACGGCAGATTTGAAACAACCTGATGGGTAAGGGTAGTCTCGTCGTTGATCAGTTGATGAGAAAGACGAAATCCCATCCTGAGGTTCCTTAACCGCAGTTAAGATATATGTGTTGTCGTCCGAAATGACTAATCCTGAATACGCAGTGTCAAAGAAAGCCGTGAACATGTCTTTGAAATGGCTTGATCAAAAAGATGTTTGAAACATAAATACAGAAAAAGGACAATAAAAGGCATGAATACTATTGTCCCTAAACTAGTCAGGTTTCAAAGCTTGCTTATGAGAAGATTGGAGTCACTGATTCATATTTTACTCAAGAAAAAGACCATCTATAAACATGGACACTATGCTCTCTTTAATGTCTTCGGGAGTGTGCAAAATCAACACCAAGGACGCCCTTGGGCATTTCACTATTTTGATTACCAGAAATCTAAGAATAACCATGAAAAGAACAAGCTGAAATTTATACGAAACTATGAGATTTTTGAGCGGATAAAGGTGATAGTGAGAGATAAGTAGAATATATATATAGGTGGAGAAACGTGTAGATTGAGCCACCCAATACTAGGATTACTGCAGTCGAATAGAGCTACTGGGACCGAAACCTAACACTGAGAAGCCCGATTTAGAGAAACCAATTGCTCTGTTCTAGCTCGTTACAAATTTTTAACGAGCTAAAATGCCTATCGAAATCGCATTTAAATAACTTGCTGTCGTATTGCTAAATGGACACTATATTGGGGAGTTGGTTGCTTATGAGTATGAGCTGCATGCAACGCCTCTGCTTCATGTGGTGATATTAGAGGCTACATAAAACATGAAACTAACCTTAACGACACACACCTATGTGTAACGGCAACGCTCCTAGGGTATCGTCCACTGATGGGGGTTGCGAGCACCTGAAGGTCAAACTGTAGCAAAATGATTGGTTCGTCACATCGACAATTCGTGAAAATTTTCCGAAGCGGTCAAATCAAGACATTTCTAGATTTGAATTGAGTTCAGCCACACCATGTCTGGTAACGTTCATTCTTCAAGTAACGAAGACGATGCCATCGTGATATAGCATGATATAGGGCGAATCTTCAATGATATTATGTTATCTCGAAGATTTACAAGTTGGGACAATTTTGAGACCTGTTTGAAAGAAGTACATAAGGTAATATGACCTCTGTGGTTAATAATTATTTTTTTAGTATACGCATACTAAGTACATTATGTCAGTATGCAAAACGAACAGTGATGATCCAACTCTAAAGTACTTTTTCGTGAGATATGTCTGTACATATGGACGTAAACGCAGTTCGTCAGAGTCAGATGCTTGCGTTCAGGATGTAGATGATGATAGTAATAATCATTCTTCTGAAGAGCATACAACTTCTAACTCGCCAACACAACCTAGGCAAAGGAGACGACGTCGGTCATTTACGTATGCCTTACTTCAAATGAATCAATCCTTTAGGTCGAAATATTGCCATTGTCAATCTGGATTTTGGGTCCGAGCAGTAAATGGTGAGTTGAAACTCACCTCTATTAAAACCGTGCACAACCATCCTTGCACAGAAGGATATATTTCTGTCGATCCGTCGAAACGACAGTTGACCTCAAGTGAACGCTTGTGTTTAAAAACGTTTCTACTGAGTAATACACCGACTCATAGCTTACGGTATCTGATTTCTTGGAAGTTCAATAAACAGCTTACCAAGGACGATATCGCCAGAATGCGTTCACAGTTGTACCCAGGTTGTTGAACTCACATTGTAATTGAGTTTAGACACTAAAAATATCAATGACATTTTACAGCGCGTTCAAGCAAATACTAAAGTTAAAGTATTCAATGAAAATGGGAACATGTCTATGATTTGCTTCAGCCGCAGAGAGCAAATAACTGTTTACCACGCGTTCTCGGAGGTAATATGTATTGATTCGACTTATCAAACCGATAAAGTCGGGTAAGTAAAGATTAGTGATAAATTTATCTGAAAGTTTTCCACTGTTCCAGCTAGTGGTGACTGATAGTCTTGGGCAAGGGCACACTGTTATGTATGCTCTTTGCAGTCAAGAACGACGCGAAGACATCGAAAAACTATTGGAATGTTTTAAAGAGATGATGTGCGGTACTTATGGTACACGCACTTTCATTATGGGTTCGGCAGCGACCGAAATTTCAGCTGTGCAGTCTACGCACAGTCATTCTAACACAATACTTTGTTCATTCCATGTCCTGAGAGCGTTTTTCAGGAAGGTATGTGTTAGCTGTACAAATTGTTTTCTGTAGTTCCGAAATCCTGATGTGCGAAAATGCTTGGAACACCTTGTGAAGACAAGACGGTCTGATATGTGAGCTTCGCTTTTCATAACGCGTTATATTCAGATTTACTCGAAAGTACGAACATCTAAGGATGCATTACATAAATTCATTTATATGGCCATTGACTTATTCTTATAGCATAACGGCAGGGAGTGTACTGTGCAGTCTTATGTGGCTGTGGGACAGGGATGTTTCGCGTTCTTGTGTAAAAATTACCAGTTTGGCGCACACGCGATTAGTCACACATATCGTTTACCAAATACTGTTACCTTGAAAATGGTGTACCACACTAATAGTTCGAATTTCGACCTGTCACGATAGATAAGAATTGCCGTAATTAAAAGACTGGTGCGTTATAAATGAAAACGTTTATTGAAGTTTGAATCTAGCACAAATGATCGATTAATAAATAACTTCTGTTTCTTAAGAATTGTTCCCGTTAGGTTTGTGAGCACTTGCGAAGCTAGCTGGAAATAAGATAGACAGGAAAGTTATTTCAGTATAAATGTTTACCAGAAACTAGTAAAAAAACGGAAACCAGTATTCAATTACATATCGAAAGTGCTATTAGCACACCCTTCCTTTGGATAGTCAATCACGTTTATTTCCTTTATCTCTTGCGATGCTTAGGAAAGTCTCGGTCACAACATACACGGATTGTAATATTTAATTCTTTGACAAATTGCACTTCGGAAAATTAGACGATGAACAGATATAAAAACTACTGTGTGAATTTACTTTGAATCATACTGTGTAACCTGCAATTAACGATGCTTATTTTATTTTATTCCGACGTAAGGTATGAGTAATTGTCATTTACGGCATCAGCACGTAACCTAGACAGGCTTTGGTTGATTTCCAAAGATCATCACATAGGATCTCACACAACCTGGTCACCTTAGATCAAGATATCATAACTACCAAATCGTAATTTTCAGTGCTTTCTCGTGACAGCTTTATAGCAGTACTTATTTATGCTATTAGGTATTTTTGCAATAATACCGGCAGCCAAAACATTGTAGCTCTACACAAGAGGTAGTAATGCTATCTTAGCTTGGTCTCTGGTAAAACCTTCACATAATTATACCTCTTCCGCATGATTATGACTTATTTCCTGCAATATAATAATTTGGTGGCTAATATATCTAACTGTAGGAGGTGATATTAACATCTTGGTATGTGTTATTATCATCTATAGCATATACATAATATTCACAACACTCGATACTTCTAATGTTTTCACTACAAAGGTATTTCTGCCATAAAAGGCGAACAAAACAGTGAAAATCAGCAGAAATTGTGATAAAGACGGGAAAAACGATAAATCTTAGGCTGCAATTAAACGCAACTCAATTTCGTAAATGTGCTTTTCAGCTCAGCAACCAATCAGAATGTGGCGGGAATTATTATATCCGCCATCTTTGTACGTAATGGCAGCCGGCTTTCTTCGTTCTGTGCTTCTTTTAGCTATTTCTTTTGTGTAGCTATGTAATTAATGTTTCAATGTGCTAAGATGCCGCAGTTAGTGTAATGTTCTACATGTTGGTGTGAAATTTATTTCGAATCAGCACTGTTTTTTGCTGCTTCTACTCTAGTCAATGTATTTCTTCAGTCAAGCTGATTAGTCTTATGTTTAAAAAATGGAAATCGGTTTTGTTTTGACTTGTTTTCAGGATATCCAAAGCTGAAGTTCGTTTTCTCTTAGCTGAAATAACTGTTGCTGCCTCCTGTGACTAACTGTCCGCATGTTCATTCCTAACTGTCCTTTATGATGTTATCGGCAAAATGAAAGGAAACAATTTCCGGTTTTTAATTTTCTTCAGTATTGCGGACAACAATATCCCACCAACTAGTCAAACTAATACTTAGTGCCTAGCCGTAGGGGATGTCAGTATTGTTTTCGAAAGTACACAGGCTTCCGACAACCATAGACGAAGTCACAGGTGCTACCAATCTATTGCAGAGGGTTTGTTATGAAAAAATATGCCACATAGCAGTAGTGGATGGGTTGTACGCATTACGTAGTGCGTTAAAGCAAGCTTAACATTGAAAAGCCGGAAATCTGCTATCAGTGTGTAGTGTATGTTTGGTGTTTTGGCCACAAAAGGAAGCCGAAGGGTCATGATCAGGGATTAAAAAGGTAACTAACTGTTATTAAGCTCACATTTTTATAGACCATAATTCACCACTCGCAAATTTGTGTTTTTTTACGGTATGATGTCAACCGTTATCTAATATGTTCACCTTTACGATGAAAAGTAACTGCAAATTCTCACCTTCATATTCGAATTATTTTGGGACAACTGTCTTCCAGTTTGAGTGCTTCGTACGCCCTGGGAGACTAGATTCCTACATTATTCACAGTTCCAGTATAACTTTCTCACGCGGTAAGTTCAAAGTAAACACTAGTCTTTCTAAATAATCATGTTAAGCTAATATCCGTATTCTCTATTTCAGTTGATTGATGAAGACATGTACCACGTGCATCTGTTGTATATTGTTATTTTACTCCAATTCTAACTGTTATATCTTCTGAAAAATAAAATTGATATATGCAGCAAATACAGACTGATTGTTTTGATGGTGGTAGGGGGGTTCATGGGTTTTTTAGCAGGACTGTAGTAATATTCTCATTAAAAAGCTAAGTGAGTGCGTAGACCAATGTAAAGTACCATACAGGGTGCCTTTGAATTACTCGTGTTCCATTAGTGTCGGTAGAAGCATTACTTGCTTATCATGACATTTGAATAAGAAGCTATGAGATTAGACGCAGGGACGGTTAGGATGTGTAACGCGTGTCCATCCATCAATTTCTGTGGCAACTCATGGTGGCTAGAACAAGTTGTGAGAGGACCCGAGTCTGTAGGTTTCCCAAGAAAATGACGGAGATATGCACCAAATCACCTTATGAAGAGCGCCTCCAATCACTTAACCACTACTCATTGAAGTATAGACGTCTTAGAGGTGACCTATTTACTTACATAATCCTTAACACTTCTGGACATTCTCTTAAACACCTAATTGAGCTTAGTCCCAGAAACTAGAGACAAGACATAGCAGAATGGGCTGTAGACGCAACTTCTCCGTAAGAATTGTCGAATGCTGGAATTCGCTTCCCGCCGAACTATTCCAAGCGATGCCCTGCTACTAGACACAGAAGCCTGAACACATGAACTAGGCGATGAGAGGCTCGATTAACACAAGTTTCTTGCAACGATTAAGTAGATAAAACAAAGTAGCATTAGGTTCAAAAATTTATTCGTGAACTTTCGTTAAGAATCGAATATGAAAAAAAAGTTTAAACCAAGTTCCAGTCTAAAAATTGCATTGGTGATGTTAAGCTGCAGTTTTTGTTGTTTTTTCCAAACGAAAGGTTAAAAGAAGTAACTCAAAAAGTATTGGAAGTGGTTGTGAGATTAAAATGGACACCCAGCATCCTTTTTATAATCTGCTGTTAGTTGAGTCTCCCGTAAACAGATTCATAGGGCAATAGTTCTAAGGGCGAAACAGTTCTTAGGATATGTGAAGACTCAGTCCTGTTGCATTCTAAATGAGAAAATAGTAATGAATTTGGTCAGAAATGTGGAATAGATAAATAACC